AGGTATGAAACCAAACCAATTTTTCTGCTTTGAAGCCAACCTCCAACCTTCCCTGTGCTGCATTCAAAGCCTTTAGTTACTCCACAGACAGTATCCCATTCTTTGGCTGTATGTCAGCCATAGGCAAAGGAGCATTTCATTTCAGGGAGGCTGAAGTAAATGTTCCAAAGGGGATAGGTGATCTGAAACTCAAGCGACAAACCCAGAAATTCCTGACAAAAATACCTTCGCATCCCCTGCAATCACATCAATTTCAAGACTGACAAAACCCCAGCAGTTAGTTCACATCAGCAAGAGGCACTAGTAACAGATGAAGATTGGTCAAGGCTGCGGAAAAATGTATACAGCCAGCAGAAAACTCCACATCACAGTCTTACAAGCGTATATAGATGAAGTGACGACATTTCATACAGCAGGTATTAGACACAGTGCCACTGAAGCATGTTCGCACTTCCATAGTTACTGCTTGCAGCCAAAATTCATCAGAGGATTGTCATCGCCTTTCAGGAGTTTGGTAAAGGCAGCCTTAGCGTAAGTGACAGAGGCCTTAGCACTGGGCATGAAATTCTACCACAGCCCAGCCACATGCAGCTCATCAAAACAAGCAAGGCAAGCAGTTAACACCTGCGAAAGGAAGGGATTAGAACATACATTATGGTATTTAGTAGGAAATGAAGACACAGTTGGCTCCCCCAAACTCCCCCTATGGATTTATCAGAAGTACATCAAGAGTTAAAACTTAATGACAACATGTAAACACAGAGGGAGCACCTCCCAGAGCTCCCAATATCAAAGACAAAACTTAGTCTTGGGAAGAAGACATTCGCATTGCATTACACCATAGCTAGGCACTGAACAGGGAAATAGCAAACCATCCCTCTTGTCTCCTTCAATAGCGTATTCTACTAACATTCATATATTCCCACAACTCTTGCCTCCAACCCTGCACAACTTGCACGGGTTTTTTTGACCCTTATAATTTGCAAGCACATGGTCTCATAGATCCAGTTGTCTAGACCACTTTTCTATAACATGCACAAGGACCACGCCACAGACTTTACATACATATCATTACATCTCTGTACTAAGAAGGGAGACTTGTATGCTCACTGCACTTTAGAAAAGAAGCATCCAGGTTCAAAAAGTAAAAGAGAGACTGGGTCAGTGAACAGCATGTAACACAGTAATGCGTAATAAAACACAAAGCCCCGCTCTGACGAAAATCAAGACAACTGTAACTGTAAGCAATAATCCCACTGGGAGTCAAGTGCACATTGCCAGCTTAATTCCCATTCGTCAACCACCGCTACCCTCAAGTCCTTCTCCACAAGGCTGTTCTCAATCCCCCAGTCTGTGTTGAAACTGGGGATTGCCCCAGCCCGGGTGCAGGACCTTGCACTCGGCCTTCTTGATCTTCCTGAGGTTCACATGGGCCCACTCCTCCAGCCTGTCAAGGTCCCTCTGCATAGCATCCCTTCCCTACAGCTCATCAATGTTACCACACAGTTTGGTGTTGTCTGTAAATGTGCTGTGGGTATGTTCAATCCTACTGCTTGTGTCACTGTCGTGGTTTAAACCCAGCTGGACGCTAAGACCATGCAGCTTCTTGCTTAGTCCCCCAGTTGGGATGGGGGGGAGAATCAGAAGAGTCAAAAGGAGAAAATTCAAGGGTTGAGATAAAGACAGTTCAATAAGGAAAGGAAAAACTGTGCACTTAAATATAGCAAAACAAGGAATTAATTCACTACTTCCCATACACAGGCAAGTGTTGGTTTGGGGTCAGCTGTCCCAGCTCTACCGCCTCCCAACTTCTTGTGCACTCCCAGCCTACTCCCTGGTTC